GAGTTACTATAAACTCCAGCTCCAATAATATTAAGACAAATAACTGAGAGTACTCAGTTGTTACTTTTTATTATGTGGGCGTGTGTTTTTACGGTACCTCTGTCTGTTTTAGTTATCACATTCTTATGTCAAATGTGTCAGTGACAGCAGTAATAAAGATCAAAACACTGTAACTGTACTGTACATGACCCACAAAGCATGTGTTGCTGTGATTCACTTGGATTCTGTTTTGTGTCTGCAGACACTGAAGCCAGTATGAAGATCCAGGAGATGGGTGTCCTCCCCCTCCTCCCCAGCCTGCTGAGCCCACAGTCCTCCTGCACTCCTAAAGTAGCCAACCTGATAGCTGAGGTGGCCAAAAATGGTGAGATTTAGCTTCCAAGTCCACCCACTCAGGAGCGACTTCCCTGTCTGTTGTTCAGAAATGAAAGTCTTCTTGGCTTGACCAGAAATTCCTAGTTGTCTAATACACACACAAACACACACACATATATACATATAAATATACATATATATATACACACACATATATTTATATATACATATATACACATATATATACATATATACATACATATATATATATACACATATATATACACATATATATATATGTTCCCTTATTTTATCGCAGTTCTTCTTCGCTCCCTCAGTACATCGCGGATTTTATTTATTCCAACTTTGCGAGAGTTTTGCTATATCACAGTGTTTTACAGTAAATATTTTTTTTTAATTATTATTATTAAATAAAATATTTTCAATATTTTCTAGATAAAAAAAACTATGTTCTAACCTAAAAAAAAAAACTGTAAAAAAATAGCAAAAAATCAATTAAAAGACATTGCTGGTAGCTTTGTTTACCCAGAGGAGATCGAACACATTCATTGAGCATGATCTTCTGTTCCTCATGCTGATTGGCTCATGCATCGTAGCATCTCTCAGCATCTCCCCTTGTCTGACAGATACTCTTGTACTTTGTTCTGCGCAGTTATGTATAGGATGTTGCTGTAAAGTTTGTGCTCTTGTGTTTGGTGAAAGTTGACCCTAATTTAACGCCCTACTCCTAAATGCTCTGATCGTGTTCTCAGGCTTCTGTTCTTAGCCCAAACAATGACACTGACACAGATGACAGTTAACAGCCTTTATTTTTCTTTACAATAACGTCTGCTCCTGCGATTTTCTCCTTTCCTTATACCCTCACCTTAGCCCTCTGCGGCGCCACATCAATGTGTATTTACGTAATATATATGTCTTATATTTCCATTTTACAACTCTACCGTGCATATAATTGTGTAGGAAAGGGTAATACAGTCTAGGGAGGGTTGATAACAGTGTGGGGGAGGATAGTAAAGGGCGAATATACACAGAGATAATATATTAACTATCCCTAAATGTCTCAGATGCCATTTGTGCGGCATGTGCACTTTTATCTGTGTTACGTGCAGTCCTCCTTACGCTGCTCTTCATCACCTCGTTCCGACGACCGACAAGTCATTCCATAGCAGGGCTGGTTCCTGCAGCCGTCCTTGTGAATTTTGCAGACTTTGCTGTCACCAAGTTTAAAGTTATTGTCTGAGGACACATCAGTTATTTTGCCCCAGTGTGAGCACAGGAGAAGTGCTTTAAGTGTAGAAAAGCAGAAGTGAAAAGAAACGCAGGGCGAGAAAAGGTTAGGATAATGAATGGGTTTGAGCAGCTTGAAAGACTACAGCTAATGATCACTCCGCAGCACTTTGCCAAGCTTGGCAACAACCCGCTGTTTTTTTTTTTTTTTTTTTTTTTTGTCACCGCTCCGCTTCCGGAAGTGTCTGCGTGGAGCCAGGGGACTGCTGGGTGAAAGACAACTCCCCTTTCTGTCTGGCAATGATCTGGTGTGATTATTTTAAAGTAATAGTTGAGTGTTTTATTGTGTGTGTTGTTTATAGATACTAATACATATTCAGTGTCTTATGTGTGGCAATGACTGGTGAAGCATTATTGGTTTATTACATAACATAGACTTTAAAAAAGAAATGTACTTTATTCACTACTTAAAATTACATTTTGCATTTTCACTCACCTTGTGACATCACAAAGTGCCACCAGAGGTGTTTCTAAACACCCTGCGGGCAACAGAGACCAAAGCGACCCTCTCACCCATTGGTCCAACATAACATAAGTCATAAGTCAACCATCTCTCGGAGGTGGCCTTCTAGCTCAGTGTCCTGGGCAATTGCCTGGGTTGCCTGCCCCGTTGCAATGCCCCTGTGTGCCACCTGCACTGGGTAGCTTTACCCATACTACTACCCCTTCCTTGTGGTAGGGTTGGTTTACTCATACTCAACTGACAGACCTTTATCACTTGCCACCCATTAGTGTACCATCTTCTTGTTCTCTGTCTGACTCTGGCTCAAACATATACAGGGGTTGGACAATGAAACTGAAACACTGGCCAATTTAATGTTGGAGGTTTCATGGCTAAATTTGATCTTCATTGATTGCACATTGCACCAGTAAGAGCAGAGTGTGAAGGTTCAATTAGTAATAGCACAGTTTTGCTTAAAATATTGCAATGCTCACAACATTATGGGTGACATGTCAGAGTTCAAAATAGAACAAATTGTTGGTCCACGTCTTGCTGGCCCACCTGTGACCAAGACAAGAAGTCTTTGTGATGTATCAAAAGCCACGGTATCCAGGGTAATGTCAGCATACCACCAAGAAGGACGAAGCACATCCAACAGGAGTAACTGTGGACGCTGTCCAGGTACTAACCCGGATTGCATCCAAAAAACATAAAACCACAGCTGCCCAACTCACTGCAGAATTAAATGTCCACCTCAACTCATCCCGTTTTCACCAAAACTGTCCGTCAGGAGCTCCACAGGGTCAAGATACATGGCCCGGCTGCTATAGCCAAAGCATTGGTCACTAGGCGTTTCAGTTTCGTTGTCCAACAACTTGTATAGTGCGATGGGAATTTGTTGCCATGTGTCCTGTCAGTTTGCCATACCTGTCAGAATGGCCTACGCTGCTTTACTGCACATACGCACGAAGGAAAATCCCTTAATTCCAATTCCGTCTGTAAGACTTTGCTAATTTAACAGCAGCTGTTTCTCTCCTAATTACTCAACCTTATCGTGGTCTGTATCTGACTGTCCCAATCTCTTAGGACGGGGATTATTTCGGTGCAAATAAAACGCTGGCAGTAGTTGTATTTAGTTCTTAATCCCTTATCTAAAGGTGGTTCTCAGAACTGTACTTCCTCCAGTTCCCAAGTCTTGATAAAAATAGGTCTTTGTTGACTGTGTTTAAAAAAAAAAAAAAAAAATCTATAACCTTTAAAGTGTCATATTTTTACTAGGTACGATTTGATCCCGGAGTAGAAATTCAGCTCTTTGTCTTTGAGGACGGAAAACCTATCAACATCGAAGCATTAGAGTCTTTGTTGAGGAAGCACTAATTATGAAAGGCATTATCAGGGCCATTATATCCCTAGTAACAAAGGTGAGCCCATTCATATCCTGACATCTCCTGTTCCTTTCTCCAGAGTTCATGCGGAGTCCATGCGTCGAGGCCGGCCTCATCCCACCTCTAATTCAGCTCCTAAACTCCACCGACCAGGAGGTTCTGCTGCAGACCGGCCGCGCTCTAGGCAACATCTGTTAGGACAGCCGTAAGTAGGAGTTTGCTTTGCTTGGGAACGCTTAATTCCTTGTGAGCCTTGTCATCGCTGTCACTGATCTAATACAAAAAAAAAAGTGTAAAGAAAAAAACAAAAAAACAAAAAGCAATTCAGCACACTCACAAAGGTTTAACAGGCATCCAGGATTGTGCACAGGGAAATGTTGTCACGTTGCCGACAAGCTGTTTCTCGTCTGTTTGTTCCTGTTTCCCCTTTTATATTCGAAGCACTTACATAACAATGACATGACATTAGTGTCTATTTTTAACAGCTAGGTTCAGATCGGTAATATAACGGTGTATGAATATGGAAAAATACAGATGTACACTCTTGTTGGATCACTCGATAATCACTACATGCCGCATATAAAATCCGTTCGATGAAAACTGCAACTGTATTACGATATATATTCAAGATTTAATGTGTTTATTGTCTGAGGCACAGTTAAGAAAAAAACGATTTTTGCAGTGTGTGAGCCGGCAGTATTAGTCTTAGTATTAGTCTCCTGCTCGCTACGATATATATTTATATATTTGTACATATATGTATTTACTGAAATAGCAAATACAGGATATATATTGACTATATGAATGAATATAGTAATATGCTGTTTTTTATTTTATTATAAAAAATGTATAAATCCAAATTAAAAACATACTCGCGACCTCTGAAAATTGATCCCAAAATTGCAAAGATTTGGCCAACGTTTGTTTGCGAAATTCCGAATAGACATGTGATATTTTTGCATTACAGGATATCAGTGGTATAGTTAATAATTATAGTTAATAATTATTAAATATCAGTTGTAGGCAGTTGTTTGGTAGTTTCTCCATCAGTCTTGAGCACACTAGATTATAATATGAGAAGCAAACAGTTTCTTAAAGCGACAGTACAGCATGAAGCAACGATAATAAATGAAATTCTTCCAACAATTGTGAAGTTCAATGATATTTTTGACCATACATTCCATACCATACATTGGTGTTTATTATCGGTGATCAATGGAAAATGCTGACCCTGGTATTTATACGCATTTAAGCCGATCCCCCCGATAATATTGATATTTATTTTTTGGTGTTTTAAATTTGGCTTTTATGCGAGTGATCGCAAATCCTATTGTGTTTTATCCCTCTTCTGGTGGGCTTTTTAATATTCATATAGCTGTGGTGTCCATCATAGACGACACGTTGGAGAAGAAAAAAACAAATGTAAGTGAGAACATTAACAACAGTGGTGTGAAAGATGGTGTGATATTTTTTTCCCAAAAAGAGGAAACCACTTGCCAGTCAAGTGAAGGAAACGAAACGCAGGAGGAAATGTTCCAGCGTCATCAGCAAAGATATACATTCTGGGTACAGTCTAGTTGCACTTCGTTAGTTTAATACAGCTTTGACTTCATAATAAACGGATTAGTGATGTTTGAGCCGGCTGCGATTACACGGCAGTAAATGTGTTCAACGATTAGCAATTTGAATGTTCGTTATAATAATTATAATTTCATTTTTCATTCTGTTGTCCAATGCCCTCTATGCACTGGGTGATTTTTAGCAATTTTCCAGATACAGCCACTCAGATTTTCCAGTGCTGTGAGCAAACCTTGACAATCCCATGACTAGAGTGACTCCTTCTGGGCGTGTTAATATTTTCCACTTAACCTGGCTTTTCATTGAAATAACATTGATTGACCATGAGTTGGCATGGTAAAATTTGAAAAGTGAGCTGAGGGATGGGAGGTGTTAATGTCATGTGAGAAAATTAAGCAGACGCACAGAAATCATGCAATAAATACGTCTTCACGTGTGTAACTGAATAATGGTAGTAATCCTTTTTTTTTTAAACCAAATTTTAGGAATTTAATTTTCATTCATTCAAATTTTCATTTTCAAAATTCAGTGTTGTTTTGTTCAGCTGTATCTTTGAATTGTTTATCTAACGGTTGAACAGACTTCACCTACGACGTTATCAGAGAAGCATTTCAGTGCCGACTTCAGGAACCAGCAGTTGCCTTTAAATCTGTTGTTTGTTTTTTTTTTGTTTGTTTTTTTTGTGGAGCTTTCGAGGGCTTTAATCCCAGCTGTCCGTCCTAGTGCTGTCTGAGTGTGACTTTGTCTTGGTAGAAAGACTCGGTATCTGTGGAATGTAGCTGAAGGAGACATTTGTTGTAGCGCGGCTGGGGGGAGGGGGGAGGGAGATTCTCGGTGAGTTGGCTTGACTTAACATGATGGTGCGGCCAAGCAGCTGCTCACCAACTCACAAAACTGCGCACTCGTGGTATGTTCTGAATATGATGTCTGTGGAGTTTCTCCTATTGCAGGTAGGAAATTAGAACTGTCCTCTTACATTATGTCTTCCTGGTGGTTTGTTTGGAGGAAGTGTAGCCAGTTTGGTGCAAAAAATAAAAAATGTTGAGTCTTTTTTTTTTCTAAGGTTGTTCAGTGCTGGCACCATCTTCATTTAAACGGGCCATCCAAAATTGTGATTATTATTAATACCTGATTAATTGTGCGTCCCTACCTTCGAGTATTGTGTTTGAACCCCAGTGCTGACATGCACAAAACAAACATCTCAATATCTAAGTCGCCTCTTGATCCACTTTAGTGATGGGAGTATTGATTCTACGGTATGGTTATGGTTATATCAGTAGTTAGATGATCACATCAGGAACTGTGGTGGGGTGGGGGAGGAAATGGTCTGGCTGCCACATTAATAAATAATATATATGAATATATATATATATATATGTAATATGTATACATGGCTTGACTTTTCCATTGAAGCTATGCAGAGTCATACTGCTCTATACACACACCTGATCTCTAAAGACTATAAGCCACGTTTGAGGGTTAATCACAAATTGGAATACAAGTCATGGCTTTTGTTTGTGTAAAATTGAACGTGTACTCAGTTGACTCCTTAATGTGTATACAACTGAGTGAGGATTGATTTTTTTAAAATGTTGATCAATGATTGGACGATAATGCTGGTCAATTATGGGATGCAGAGGATGGAACATGGATTTTGTCTTTCAATTAAACTTGGCGTGTGTTTGTGATGTGTTTTTATCCCCTTTAATAATGGTGAGAGCTGGAAGAGAAAGATGACAAGAGGCAGTGGACGAGACAAGAAACAGTCCTGTTCTACATAGCATTAAAGTTTAGGTTAGTTCTGATTTAGTGCCCTTGTAGAAAAAACTAAAAAATGGAGGATGTCTGCACTGTGTTAAATATACAGTAAACATCAGTGTCTGTGTACCAGACGTACTCCAGAATGACATCATAAACATGTCAAAAGGAGTGTGTTGTGGTACTAATGAGTTATCACACAGTAATGTAGCTGTGGCAGGGTGGGCACAGCATGTCACACACATACACCATTTACGTACGTCCTGTGTCGGTGAATATACCACTTCAGATCCCACTCACAGACAAAGTCACACAAACCAAAATATAGACGAATGGATTTATTTTATTTTCCCTATGGGACTGTTTGGCTCACTTCTGTGTAAGCCAGAACTGTTTATTAAGACTGAGGCCACTGTGGGAGCACTAGTGAGGAGACTCCTACTCCGGACTGAGCACCAGCAGCAATACATTTATAAAATGCAAAAAAAGCTTATATCATATACATGGTTTTATGTGAATCTTGGAGACAGTGACTGCATAATTTTGTCATTCTACGAGGCACAGTATATGAAATGTTTTTTTTGACTAGTTTTAAGCTTTTTCCCTGCTACTATTCTTTGTCTTTTGTAAATCATAGTTAAACATACTATACTTATACTATACTTGTTGTATAAATATATATATACATATATGTATATATACATATGTATATACTTATGTATATAATATTAGCCATTTATCCATTTTGAAATCCTACACCTCTTCAAACAACATTCAAGTCCTGCATTAATTATCGTTGCTTTTTATAATTATAATTATATAATATAACAATAATATGATAATAATAATAATTATTATTATTATTAACATGGATTTCAATATTTCAAAAGTATCTGTAAACTGGCACTGAATGAAGTTGCCCAAAACACCTCAAACACCTCCCATGTGCCTTTGTCTACTTTTTGAGGTGAACGTTTTTGACCGACTTTGTCCTGGTTTTCTTGGGTGCAGGGAATGGTTCTGATGCCACCATATACACTGGAGATCAAAATTAGAGAACAAGTCATAAAAAATGGAATAAATCTGAAATAATACCATCTTCACTGTTCCACAGTTAAATGACATTTTATTGTGTCTATATCATTGTACTACAACACTTTTTTTCACAAAATGACTAAAGGTATTTCGCAAAAAAAATATTTTCCAGAAAATGCACTGATCAAAATTAGAGAACACTTTCAGGTGCCTCCCACTTAATGGTGCTAATCAAGCACATGGTGCTAATTTCCTTGATTATCTGTCAACCCTTATTTAACTGGCATTCTAACTGCTAGTTTCACTGACTTTGCAAGATGGTGGGCCGTTCTAAAGTGACTGAAGGCCTCCGGCAGCAGGTTGTCCAGATTAAAACCAACGGGATGACCCTATCAGCCATAGCAAGACAAGTTGGTCGTTCCAAATCTGTGATTTCAAGAATATTGAATCTTTACAAAACTACAAACTCATTCAAGTCGCCCAAGAAGGCTGGTCGTCCACGAAAGACAGATGCAAGAGAGGACAGGTCACTGCGGAGGATGTCAATGGGTAATCGTTTCCACACTGCAGCTGGAATTGCTCGCCATTTCAGTGCTGAACATGGTAAGGATCTGTCTCGCCATACAGTGTCTCGCCGTTTAACAGCATTTGGACTGAAGGCCCACACTGCAGTGACCAAACCTCTCATTAGCCGAAAAAATCAAAAAGCTAGACTGAGCTTTGCTGAGGAGCATGTTGTGTGGACTGAGGAGAACTGGTCCAGAGTTCACTTCAGTGATGAAAGCAAATTTAATTTATTTGGGTCTGATGGGAAGCATTATGTTCGGCGACACATTGGAGAAAGACTAAACCCAAAGTGTGTTAAAAAGTCAGTGAAAGGTGGAGGAGGAAGTGTCATGGTTTGGGGCATGTTTTCTGCAGCAGGAGTTGGGCCTCTTGTACAGCTACATGGCCGAGTGAATGCAAATGTGTATCAGAACCTTCTTCAACAGCACATGGTTCCTCACTTGCGTTCATCGCCCAATCAGCCTGCAATCTTCATGCAGGACAATGCCCCGTGTCACACAGCAAAACGGGTAAAGATTTTCCTTGAAGGTCAAAACATTGAATTAATGGCATGGCCTGCCCAGAGTCCTGATCTCAATCCAATAGAGAACCTCTGGAAAATCCTAGGTGACAAAGTTATGGCCAAGAAACCCACTACAATCACCGAACTGTGGAGGAGACTGGAAGAAGAATGGACCAAAATCACACCAGAGCAGTGTGAGAGACTAGTGCTATCCTGTGGCCGCAGATGTGCTGAAGTCATTCACAGCAGAGGCCTGTATACTTCTTATTAATTGCTGACTGTTGTAACCTTCAGATTTTTTTTTCCAAGACAAAGTCATGGTTGTTCTCTAATTTTGATCACTTGTGTTCTCTAATTTTGATCAGTGCATTTTCTGAAAATATTTTTTTTGCGAAATACCTTTAGTCATTTTGTGAAAAAAAGTGTTGTCGTACAATGATATAGACACAATAAAATGTCATTTAACTGTGGAACAGTGAAGATGGTATTATTTCAGAATTATTCCATTTTTTATGAGTTGTTCTCTAATTTTGATCTCCAGTGTATATAATGAACAAGTTCACGTGAAAGGTCAGTAAATCGTTCTGAGTGATGGACATAAATGCCCCGCAGCTTTATGCACTACATAATGAGGTTTCTGTCCTCGATTTAAGAAAGTCCACATTCCATATCGTGTGTGCCGTACCTGTTTCGCCTTGCTCAATTAGCTCGTCTTATTTTATGATCTGAAATGATATAGCGACTAGGCAAGATTCTACTGATTTCTGGCAAAGGCCCACCAGCCACTGAAAACTCCTCTGCAACCCCTTTTTGGGCCACAGCCCATCAGTTGAGAATCATTGGCTTCAGGATGGTTTTCTGTACAGTCCTCTAGGTAAAAACAGCGTTTTGTTTCATCAATGGTTCCCAAAGTATGGGGCAGGCCTCCCTTTTCCGTCATGCCCCCCTTTTGGGACACAAATGTTTTCACGAACCCCACTCCACCCTGTCCAACTCAGACCCCTGCGAATTGAAATACTATTGAGAACCTGATAACATGTACATTTTTATCTGTACAAACCACTGTATGAGTTGCTGCCACCTAGTGGACTGAAGGCTTGTTGTCATTCAAGCATTACAACAGTGCTACACTTACTGTATATCCAGTGTGCCATATTCCATTGGAACGTCCCTTCTGGCACCTCATTGTGCCCCCACCGGGGTCCCGCCCCACTATTTGAGAACTACTGCTACTTCGGGGATGCACAACTATTGTGGAGCAAGTCAAATTAATTTCATTTATAGCATTTCTTCATTTGTGCCATACTGAGAAAATAGAACTGGGTTTTTTTATAGGAATTCCTCAGTTCAGAGAGAATGGTAGTTTTGTAGGAATTTTTTTTTTTTTTTTTTTTTTTATTTTTGTGAACCTTTACCACATTGGTTTTCCTGTTTTTTGAGTGTGGGAACTTGATAATAGTGTTGTTAACCAACAGGGGAACTGCAGAATAAGTTTGCAATCGGAGAGCGTTATTAGTCCAAAATATATGGAGAAGATACCAGCTTCCTATTTTAATGCAAAGGAGGTAAAGCTAACGTCAGCTTTATTAGCTCAGAGAGCTTAGAACATCCCAGACTCCTGCTAGAAACGTCCTTTTCGAAACCTTTTCATAGAAGGACGTACAACGTCATTCACAGCCACAGCAACAGCTGCACCGAAGCAGATCACAGTATAATGTCCTGCACATTTCCTGCTTAAAACTCCAGGCATGGCTCATTGTCAGGAATGATTGAATGTAGCACCCGCACTGACACTGCTCTGACGACGTAAAACTGCTGTTCTTTTAAGCCCCGTGTCAAACCCAAGGCCCGCGGGCCCGCCACGTCATTTTTTGTGGCTGGTTCAAAGCAATGGTCAAATTTTGCATGTTTGTAATATATGCATGGGAATTTCATTTTTTTTTATTCTACTCAAATTCTATATTTCTGGCGAGAGGATTCTCAGCACTGGTTTTATTTTTGTGTTTTCATTTTTGGCCTTTTGAGCGATTGAGGTTGACACCCCTGTTTTTAAGCAACGTTGTGGAGGACGGAGAAGGTAAAAGGTCATGGCTTCAGCACCCTACACCACGACAATGGAAAAAATGTTGGATCAATCCATACGTCGGTCAATGTTTCTTTTGCTTAGAATGTTTTTTTAATTTTTTTGTTATTGCTCTTTGCTCTTTTATATCAATCTTTTATACATTTTTCTCAAAAACGATGTCAAATGTTTTTTTAAGGACAAACCTTATGACATTTTTACTGATATAATATTATGATATATTATTATAAATATAATAATATGGCTTTACAGAAGGCTGCTGTTGTCATTCTGCTAATTTAGTAGTTTTCTACCCCTCCATTAGCATTGCTTAAGGTTGCATCAACTGTAATTAAAAAAAACAAACAAATACAACAGCCCTGTTGGTCTAAAAGTTTAACAAAGCAACTATCGCTCAGCCTCAATGCTCAACTTAACTTTGCCGTCATCTCCAAGTTGAAGTTCCGGTATTGGAAATGACAAAGTGTTTTTGAGCCATCCCTACTGTTTACATTAACTCCTTGATGGCATTCTTTATCCAAACCTTTGGTCTTGTTCCTTTATCTAGGTTCACCAGAGCAGTAGTCCTCAGTCACATGTTGACTGAGTGACTTTTTATCCCGTCTTCCTGATGCAGCCCAACACGGGCTCGGGCACTATGTTGAACTTGAACCCAGAGTCATGATTACCTCAAATGCTGTGTTTAAATGCTGTGCTGTGTTTGTCTATTATGTTTTCATTTTTCAAATATTTAAGAGAAAAAAAAATCTCATCTATAATTAGGTTGATTCATTTGTTCAAAATTGATCAGATTAAAGATTTTTACTCACGTATAACAAATAATTCCATTGCCCATTTACTAATCGGTACTGTAATACACACATACACCTGTTGTCATTTACACACACATTACAACAGAAATGAATCATGATTAGTCGGAGTGAATCCGCAGTTACCCTGTGATTAATCTGATTAAAATTCCAATGTAATAATATAATTCCCATAACACATGAATATTTTAACATAAATTAACATGTTAATAGGCTCATTTTTATCATGCAAAATCTATGTTATGTTTACTAATGACACAATGCAGTTACCATATTACCGGACTATTGAGTGCACCTGAATATAAGCCCCACCCACTAAATTTAAAAAGAAAAAAAAAATGTACATATATTGGCTGCACTTCTCTATAAGCCACAGGTGTCCACGTTGTAACATGGGATATTTCTCTTCACTTTTAATTAAATAAATGCATTTTTTCCGACCAGTGCCTGTAACATGGCTGGTTACACGTTAGCTCTTTCCTGCTTCTCCGCCCCGATCGTAGTTGGAATGAACAGGGGAGACTTAGTGATCTGCTCCAGGGCTGAAGCTAACATTAGCTCCGGGGCTAACTCCCTTCACTTTGTGCTTGTCCACAGCAGAGGTAAACAGAAACAGTGAAGTTGGGGTCTTTATTATCAGCCACTCCGACCACAACAGAACATAAACAGAGTTTTAACAGCTCCTGTATAAACAACTCACTCTTCAACATGACAGGACTCAAACTGCTCTCTACTTTAGCTACCGTTCTCTCTGTTTCGCGCGCCCCATGCACATATACGCACACAGCCATTCACAGACAGACATACGCTACTAGTATAACACACAGTAGCCTACCAGAAATGTCATTGATCGCTAGCGCTATGAACTTAGCTAGCCTGTAAAAATCCATAAATTAGCCACAGGGTTCAAAGAGTGTAAAAAAAAAAAAGTAGCGGCTTATAGTCCAAAAATTACGGTAATACAGTTGAGGTCATTATTCTTCCCTCTATTCTTATTTCATTCAGAATTGTGATTATGTTCTACTGTTGGTTTGATCTGTTTTTATTCTGCTTATGTAGCATTGATTTCATCTGCTTTTTATTTCTGAGTTATGGTTCTTTTCTCTCCTCGTTTCATTTTTTAACCCTTTGTGTTGTGGTTGATTTGTGTCCCGGCCTCTTTGTTTTGCAGATGAGGGCAGGAGAGCAGTTGACCTGGCAGGAGGGGCTCAGATAGTAGCTGAACACATTAAATCCCTCTACCAAAATACTGAGCCGGAAAATGAGAAGCTCTTGACAGTCTTTTGTGGCATGCTGATGAACTATAGCAATGATAATGGTAATGACCATCTTTCCCCCGAAGACGAACCGTAAACTAATCACTGACTAATCATCCTTCTACACACAGAATGGGTTTTCGACTGAACCAGAGGACTCTGTGGTGCTGCTGTGGTTTGAAATGATTCTTTCTCCTGATCTTTTTTTCCAATGCTCTGTGTTGCTTCTTCTGTTTCACCTTTGTGGTCATTTTCTTTTGGGCGTGTTTGATGTGACGCAGTGTGGAAGCAAAGTCCAGTCTTTTCATGTTGTACCCATGATATAAGAAAATCCGTTTTAAATTCATTTTGCGCCCTCTACTAGAGATGCACCAATCACCCAGCCAGTAACTGGCTAGTTCTAGGAACGACGGCCAGTTTTGCAACCAATTATCTTGCTTATGCTAATATGTCAGTATGGGAAAAGGAAGCTAATTTGTCACTAGCTCGGAAGTACTTGACAGGTAGCCCGTTATATATATAGGTTAAAGGTTAAAGTTGAGGAGCCATTGTGAGGTTGATCGAAACAACAAATATTTTACAAAACGAATGTAAACTGCAAATATGTTTGTTTTTTATGCAGACTTATTGTGCAAGGTTCTATTTGTCAGAACATTGGTGCACAGGAACCAAACTTAGTACCTCATACCAGTCACCAAGAACTGCATTTTCAAACAACTGCATGGAGAATCTGTGACTGAGTGCAGTTTATGGGAAATATGGGACAGAGAATAAAAAGGTTCCGCTTACGTCACATTTTCGCAAACAGTCCATCGCTAGCATTTACTCTCCTCGGATCAAAACACATGACACTTACCATGTTTCCAGCTACGTCTTCCAAAGTTGTGGAGCATCAAACACTCCAAACTCTTCTAAACTGGTGGCTTTTTAGATTTGAACGCTCATGGAGTCTGAGTCTGAAAACAAATTTTATGAAATAGTACTGATTACTGATGGTCTCTTAATTCGCGCTCTGGTTTCCACCACTACCTCTGGACCACAATCCAAC